ACTGATTAATTAAAGCCCTAAAGCCATATGTCCTTTTATTTTAATTGAGTTGTATTGAGCCTTTAGCTGTTTTGTTGTTTGATTCTCTTTCAGAGGTTGGGTAAATGAGATGTTATGGTTAGACCATCAGAAGCAGCGTGTTTTATGTTGATTTTAACAGCAAACCCAGAATCTAAAAGTGTTTTATCTGTCCCTAACTCATGGCAGGTAACCATGGCAATCACAGCGCTTCCAACAGCTCCTGGAAAATGTTGGAAACATCTTAAGTGAGCTGTCCCATTAATAATGAAGAATATCAGTGTTTTGCCATCTGTTACATACTAACAGTGTATATAAAAGCCCAGCAGTTGTGTGAAACAATTTAAGCTGCAAGTTGGGATGAACTTGTCTTGCAATGAAAAACTGCAAAAGGGTGTAACATAAAATGTGGTACATCTGGACTCTGCCTCTTAGTTTTATAGCTTAACATTGTCTCTTACAAGATTTCCATTATCTGTATTTCAATTTTTGCAGATCTGTAATTTGATATTAGCCTTTTGTTGTGGGCAGGAGAAACTTGGCAAGTTGTCAGTCAAACAAAGTTTGATAAGATATCTTGGACACCATGAATTTCAGATGACAAGTATTTTCCCAGGTGTGTTCTGTAACTTCTTCTGTGATCTGAAGCAGTTTTACTTGTTAACTGAAATTTTGTGTGTGCTCTTGAACTGTGGGCTAGGAAATAACTTTCACAGTGGTGAGTGCAGAAACAGTGGTAGCTTTATTTTTCAGAAAATATGCCTAAAAATTGAAGATGAATTAATGTTAAGTCTCAATTTGTGTACAGTGTAAGTTTACTCTGCATAAATTGGTGGTAAATCTCTAGGCCAACATGCCCTAGAGATGTGTTTCAGAATCTGGGCATATTTTCCTGTAACAGAGGCCCTCTCTATATGGTCCCCTTTCTTTCAACAGGGAAAGGTGTTCTTAGTCAAATAGGAAGGTCAAATGTTACTTGCAAATAAAAAGAGACATTTTCGAGGCAAGGAAAAGATCTTTACTTTATTTCAGATCCCAACTGGTTTCAAATGAGTGGCTGGATGATTCCAGACAAGTTCTTGTTAGACAAGACCTGCTGTTTATTCACCTTACCCATTCCATTTCTTCTATACATTTTTAGTTTTGGGCTTTGCAATAATACCCATTTGTGGTTTTGAGAGCAGGCCTCCTTTTTCAACCATGTAAGCAGGATCTCGCTTCAGTGAAATCTTTAAAGTTTGTGTTTATCTAAGTACTGTTACTTTATCTTTCTGTATATGTGTTTGTTTTCCAAAAATGAAACTATATAGACTAACCTTTAATAATGTGAAAATGTAAGGTTTTTTGCAAAGTTATGCGTATTTGTAATTTAACAAAATTACTTTGCTCTCAAAGTACATTCAAATCAAGTGCACATAAATGTGCATGTTAAATCTGTATATTAAATCTTAGGGAAAGAGCTTTGCTGTTTTCTATGTGAGGAGATGTGCAAGTGGAGACTTGTATTGACAGGAGCAACCTCATACAATCACCAAAGACATGGGCTAAAAATATGGAGCTGCTTTCACTGATACAAATACAAACCCAAATGGCTCACTTTAGGAGTTTGTTTATGAGTTGGACTATAAAATACTAACTGGATTTCTGCTGTCGATAATTGGGAGGGTAACAGTTACCTTTTTATTATTTGGGACTGAAAAAATTGGCCAGGCTTTGAGCCAATTGTGTTTTTCTGTTACCAGTTGTTCTGTTTACTATATTGTGACAAAAACTCTTTATTGCTGCAACAGCTTGGCAGTAACAACTGCCTGGTAAAATCATTCCTCTGAGTACCCAACCTGCTGTTGCAAAATGCACACTTAATGGTAAAGTGTGGACCCACAGCTGAATCATTTTGACCTTGGTTTACATTACTTCTGGTGAGGACAAGGGGCCTAAGCACATGGTACAGAATTTCATGGAATATCGCTTGGTGTTTGTTTTAGGGATCAAATTTAGGTCAGGCTAACAGGACATTTTTAACTGTTTTCAGGCTGAGTTTAATTTCTGAGATGCTCTGCCTTTCGCTTGAATAAATGGCAGAAAAATGGCTATATTATAAACACTAATTTGATCAGCTGTAAACAGCAAAAAATGCATTTCCTAAGCATGTTCTGGCAGACTTAATTAGAAAACTCTTTTGTGACATTATTATGTGTAGTCAAGGAGATCCTTTACAATAATATAAGGGATAGAAAGTACCTATATTCCGTATTTTGTTCCCATGCCTATAGCAAGAGATCCTGCCTGTGAAAGATGTTTTTATTTAAATGCACGTGCAGTACAGAAGTCATACTAAAGGAATGCAGCTTCTGCTTAAGACCAAATTTTAACAGAGTTGAAATTATTTCCCAGAAAATACCGTCCTTGAGGATTTGTGACCAAACAAACTTAAGAACTGAAAAAGTACTGATCAGTGTGGTACTTAAAAAATGGAGGTGTTCTTGTGGGCTTGAAAACATCATGACAGAAGGGATGAAAGTAGAATAAAGGAAGTGCAGTGGAGGTGAGGCCGTTCTTTGCAATGGCTCCAAGCTGGGTCTGTGCTGGGAACTGGCTTGTAGAGCAAAGCAGTGCTTCTTCCTCTGCTATACAGTCTAGGGCTGTATAATATAACATTATTAGTTGTATATAGGACATTATAATGTATACAGGACCTGGGGAGAGGATTACTCCATAATTGAAATGGGCTCCTGTGCCAAACATCACCACTGCTCACGTGGTTAAAGCTTTCAGGAGCAAAGCTGTTCCACAGACTTCTTCTTTTCTTGTCCTGTGCCTCACACAGCTGGTGGTAGCAAATCAGTGTCCCTGCCAATGGAGTGGTGTGATAATTTAAATCCTTTGAGAGGAAAGATGGCAATACAAGGCTATTCCTTGAGCCTACTCGAAGAATCCAGTAGGAACAAAAATCTTAGTGAACAGAAGAAAAACAGTAACACAGATGTTAGTCAGTTAATTAGTACTGAACAGCACTTTTGTTTATTATTACCATTCCATTTTATGATAATATTATGTGTCACCATGTATTGCAGTCTTTGCTTTAACGTTCCCAACAGCTTGTCTGGACTTCTGTTGCACACATTTGTCCAGACCCCCTCAGTGCAGGGGCCCAGAACAAGCTGTTGCTCAGTTCTGTTCGAGCAGTCCCTGTCCCCACCCGGGCGAGGGAGTCTACAGAGGGCTGTGCACGAAATTCCATCAGCTTTGGCTCTGTAGTAAAGCAGGAGTTTCCAAGAGTTTTCAGACTCCACTTCTTCATTTCATCAGCAAATCAATTAACCCTAGAAGGAAATCACTTGCCACGCAGTTTGTGTGTAGTGTGTGTAGGTTGCTGAAAAACAATGTGAGTGATAAAAAAGAATTAGCAAAGCACATAATACACAGGGGGGGTTTATTTTCACTCAGATCCTGATTATTAAATGTATTAATATGAAACTGGAATGCTGAAACAGGACTGGACATCTATGTAAGTTCATAGGTAGAAAACAAAAGTAAAATTGAAATATTTTGGAATTTTGTGAACTTAAACAACATAAGCACTACCTAAGATTTTGAAGCCTGTGAGTATGTATGTCTTCAGCCATTTCTTACATCTTAGTCTATTACACCCCTACTATTAATGTCTAATTTCTTATTCTTAAAAATATTCCTGTTCCTGGTAACTTTTAAGGAGAGACAAGAACAGAACAAAATGTCAGTCAATGTTCTAGGAACTCTACAGCAGTCCTCCTGCATCCCAAGTAGCATCCCTGCTTTGATAATGTCAATCTGCTTTATCTAAGGAAACAATAATCCCCAGATTTGCATCCCATGCATGGCAGCATGGTCTGAAGCTTCTCCATACAATGAATTTATTCAGTGTTGTCAAATGTATTTATGGCGTTTTGTTGGTGGGTTGTCTTTTTTATTTATTTTTTTTTCCAAGAAACAAAGATTTGTTTCACTGCCTTTTCTTATTGAGATAAATAATACAGGTTGGATAGGCACATCTTAGAGATAGTAGTCACCTTTGGGAGCTGTAATTGTCTAATAATAGGTTTGGCTTCATGCCTGAAGAACATACTGTGACATTTAAACCAGGTGATCAGAGCCTGCACTCCTGAGATAGAGGATAAACCATCCAGCACCTGATGTCACTGTAAACCTGTTACAGTTCTATAAGTCACTGTGAAATGTGTCACCTTTATATTCGAACTCACTGTTGTGATCCCTCACAGGGAGAAAGGCTAAACTAGATTTGAGTTACAGGGTGCATGACATTTTAGTTGTTAGACTTTTAAGGCCCTCAGCAGAATGTGGAGTTCATAGAATTATTCTATTTATTTGGGCCAAGGTGATATAAAATCCTTGGATCTAAAATGCTATAGAAACTTCAGTAAAACATTTTATTGAGAGTTACGACTGTAATATTTTAAAAAGCAATCTACTATATATAAACCCCATCACAAAATATTAATTTATTGATAATAATAAAAGTGCTGGAGAAATACTCATCCATTCTGGAGTTTGTGCACCCAACAGCTGATAAGTTTGAGTTGTGAGGAAGCTGTGGGAATAAGTCAGCATTTCCTCCTGCAGGGACTGGTAATTCTGGATCTCAAAAAATGGCATCAGTTGTTGTGCCACTGCCTCTGTGCTGCTGCTCTGCACTGCCCTTTGAGATTGCAGTGGTTTATGGTCCATAGGAGGCAGATTCTGCCCAGGAGAGGATTCAGCATCCTGTCAGTGGATGTCTTTGTGAATTTATCAGGATTCACGATTTTCCTTTATCTCTGAGGACAGTCGAGGGTTTTTTGCACTTGCCAACGTACTTATATAGACATAATAAGGAGACATCATCAAAAGATCAATTTTTATGCTTCTTGGGACTGTTTAGTTACATTATAGAATTGAAAAAGATGTTCTTTATACCATTTATATTCTTTCCTCTCTATTTTTAGGATGCAAAGTTTGTAGAAGAGTGACGCAAGCAGCTACAAAATTACCTAAGGAACGTAATGAACAAAATCATTCAAACTGTGCCAGAATTCACAGCCAATCCCAAAAAAGAGACACTTATTCAGCTGATGCCCTTTTTTGTGTAAGTATCTGTCAAGTACTCAAGAAAATATTAAGCTTTTTTCATCCCAAATAATTTAACATATAATGCCAACATCTCCAAACTCTTTAAAACTGTGGGGTTTTTAAAGTAGAAGGCTTCTGTTCTAAGTGTAAGTGCTTTTGTTATATTTAAAGGAATATATGACATGCAGAGTATTTTTTTGTTTATTTAAATGGTGACTTTGAATAAAAATCCCAGTGTAAAGCTTTCAGAAATACCTAAGTGACTTCAAAACCTGCACCCACCTGCACTCTTCAAACATTAGGTGTCTTTGTTTTCTTTTATTTGGTCTTTTTTAAGTTTTGTTTTGCTTTTATTTGTGTGGGGTTTGTATTGGTTTTAAGTTTATTTTGGGAGCTGAGGGTAGAGTGCTGTTAAGGTACTTACTGACCAAATTAAAAATCCAAGCTGTTGAACTCTTTCTAGCTGAATTTTGCAATCTGCTGACTCATGTTCTGATTTCATTAATGTTAAAGTTGAATATGTCCAGATATAGATTAACACACTCATTTGTTAAGAATCTCAAAAGAAACCCTGTGATATACAATCACACAAGGGATGAAAAATCTTCCCTTTTTGCTTTAAATATCGTTCTTTAAGTATTTGTAAATGATATTTAGAACTATTTAAGAAATAGCATTAATGAAAATTTGTTTTTGAAAGTGGTGTTAACTTGTTAAGTTTCATAATATTTTGGTTTAATAGTATTTTACTATAAACATCAGCTCTCTGTAAATACATACATAAGAACAGGAGGGATCTTTGGCAATGAGCATCACAGTTTTTTGCATTTGGCAATGTCATAATTCTCAACACATTGCATGAAGCAATGCACTAGAGTGGATTCAAGAACATTCTGTGATATGGCAAAGAGATTCTGTTTATATATGTACCTGTGAATTATTTCCTTAGAACTTTTTCTCATATAGTAGATGTTTCAGCATTCTCTCTGGGAATACTAGTGGGATTCTGGAAAACTTAAGCTGTTGAGAAAAATAACTATATACCTCATCTACAGCAGCAGACAAAATGGCTTTTTAATGCATTTTTCTACTGAGAGATCAACTCTTCTTCTGCAGCTAGAGCAGCAATATTAAGTTAATATAAAGAACTTTTCTAAGGTGTGCTCCTTCTCTCATTGTCTGGAAGTATAATCATTTCTAGGCTATTATTTGAACTTTGTCCTTTATTTTCTGCCATGACCTGGCACTGTTGGTGGTTTAGAAAAGACATCCAAAAGAAAATGCATTTCTGTTCCATTTCCCATTGCCAACTTCTCCAGTATTGTCCGTCCTTAATGGATTTTGAGCTTCATCAACAGGAGATCTTGAACATGTTGGACTCTGAAGTGTGGATTACATTAAGCAGTGGTAACTTTGTACCATACCTGCAATTCTTCTGTTAGTTTTAATAGAATTTTATTTAATACTATTTTACCTTGTAAATACATATAATAATTCTGGTATATTTAATTTATCCTTTGCAGCACAAATATATGCACAGTTGATTGCATCTTTATCAATGAAAGAGTAGTTACAAAACACTGAGATATTAGTCATAGGACTGGGCTGTAGGGAATAGTGATACCTCAGTCTGGGGGAAAATTGCAGTCTTAATTTGCATAAAAAGTCTCTAGGGCATTAGATCTGTCTATTAGGAAGCAGTGAAATATAAAATATAAAAATAATTATCTGGTCTTAAAGAGTTTCTTCTGACTGCAAAATGAAATGACCACAGTTCAGTGTGAAAATGAAAAATCCCATAAAGGTTATGTCTGATTAGGCATCCTATAGATAGAAATTACAGGGTCAGTTTTAATTAATCACTTTTAAGATCTGGTTTTGGTCCTAGAATATGATTATGATGAACAGAACATAAGATGAATGTCTCTAAGACTGAATCCACTGATAATTTAATGCTAGAATGAATATTGCTGAAAATTGTTGTTGTGAGGTTGTTCCTTTGGGGATTTCTCCCTTCCAAGTGCAGTGATTCTGTACAATCAGGCACAGATCTGATGAGGCAAAACATTTTAATTGATCTGTATGAAATAGCCTGCCTCTGTTGTAAAGGATGAAATTGCTTTTATTTTGAAACTCAGTTAACAGTTTGCAGTACAATAACATGAATCAGTTTGCTGGCATTTCTTTTCATTATTGTATCAAGTGCTGGTGGTTAATCATGGAAATGTAATTTGTTTTGAATCCTAATGCTGTGAACTGTCATTAATGTGCTCTTTCTTTCCTCAGTCTTTATCGCTTATAATCTCACTCTGTATATTTTTCAGTTTTAATACTTTATTAGCTCAATCACAGGATTGGTCAAAGATTTTCCTTTATAGTCCACTTTCATGTCTTATTGTAAAAAATAGATTCTGGCTCTGCTAATTTGTCTATTTACATTCTTTGTAATAATAAAATTGACATCACAAGATAAATTTTCCAGTCCATGTGGAGCAAAACCTAAATCAGGAATTGGCACTGCTGAATTAGATTGCTACATCTGCTAGCTGGTGAAGGCCTGTCTGTTAATACTTACTTAAATTAACATTTATTTGCACTCGTGATTGGTACATTATGGATAAACAAAACTTGTTGTAACAAGTACACTTGTGTTTTAATCACATTTTTATCAGTATGAAAACTCTCACACACATTAACCCTTTGTAAATACATGCATGAGAACAAGAGGGATCTTTGGCAACGAGCATCACAATTCTTTGGACCATATAATTGAGTCTTCAACATAAATCATCACAATAGCTTATATGATCTCAAGTAGGTAAAAAGCTAAAAGCTGTAAACATTTGGAAAAAGAATCTCTAAAATGTTGTGATGGCCCATTTTTCTACCTCTTGGTTTCTGAATCAGTTGTCCTAATCTTGTAAAAGCTAAGGATTTCAACTTGGTGTGGGGATTGGCTTAGGGATCTCCAGAGGTGCCTTCCACCCTCAAAGAGCCTGTAAATCTATAATTCTCCAAAATCTCCATCTGCAATCTTAACCTGAGTTGTGTTTTACATAAACCCTGCACAAAGAAGTGTTGGCCAAGTACACAGCTGGTCACAGAATGTTCTGTGTTAACAAAAAAAGTCTGAGCAGTGGGAAAGCACTAAAGCAGGTCCTGCACTCTGGATCAGACTGCAGAACTACAACAAGAATAGTGCCACTGTACTGGTTCTTTTGCACTGGCCACACAAATGTTTGGATTAAAGAATATGCAAGAATGGTACAAACACAGTTTTGTGCATATTTTCACAGGTGACTGTGCTGAGTACTTCTTTATCTCATATTCTAGGCCACAGCTACAAGTTACAGCAGTTTCTAAATAACAATTACATGTTCTGCTGAGCTGCAGAGCTGGACATTTATTCTCTTGTGGTAGCTGCTCAAACAAAGGCTTTAAGAAATGCAGAGAATCTGTTCAGTAAATCATCAGCAGGTTCTGCTGTCTGCGGGATGTGTTTGAACACCAAAGGAGTCATCAGTTCTCCAGGATGATTAGAGGACTGTAATTTTCTAAAAAATATGTTGTCTTCATTTCCCTGGGTGACATTACTGGCAGCATATTTGATAGCAGAAGTTGTGTTCTTACGTTTTCTGTGTCAGTTGTCTTTGAGTCACCAAGTTAAATCTTAGTTAAAAAAAAACAACACAATTTCTCCCTCTTTCTCATTTCATAAAATGCTTCTCTCCTCCTGGAAGGTGAAGTTATGAGAAATGTGATAGAGAGACACAGGTACCACTTGACAGGCAAACTTCAGTGCCAACCAATAAGTCACTCAAAAAAAAAAAATGTTGTCCTGGGAATACTCCTCTAGGATTCATTTAGCACTGAACAGTGTATAAAGCCAAGTATCTGCTTTGGGTCTTGCAGACAACAAAGTTAAAATATTGTGGAAGAATAGATGATTGTTCTCAGTGGGTTGAAGAACTTGGTGTGGATTGGATTTGGGGTTTTTTCTTATCATCTCTATTTCAGTTGTACTTGTCAGTGTGTCATTGAGAACATTTAAATGTGTATGTTAAAGGTATGAGAGGTAAAAAGAACGTTAAATTCTATACAATATCATCGCTAGTATTAGGATCAAATATAAAGGAAATAAATCTTTTAGGAAAATGACTGTGAGGTGCCTGTGGATGTTGTATCTCTGAATCATTTTAAAGACATTGGCAATGGACCCTTTCTAAGTTAGTTTTGGGGTATTTTAGGGGGATGAAACTGTTTACTTAGACCTAAAGCTAACTACAGACTAGTGCATCAGTTCTATTCCATCCATCCGTCTTCATCTCTCCATGAGGGATGGGTCATACACAGCAGATGTGGCACTGTTTTAGTGTAAAGAATGTGGAGTATTATTTTAAACGAGATCTTTGAATACACAGACATGAATATATTTACATGTAAAGACAGAGGTGCTGCTGTTTTGCTGGTTTTGCACCTTCAGGTAAGCAGTGAGGTGAAAAGCAAACAAGCAGTCCCTGAAATACTGTAAACCAATATCGCTGCAGAGTAGGGGAGTTTTAAATACAACGTTGAATATGTTAATTTCTCAAAAACTGAGTTGGTGATGGCTCTTCTTACAACCCTCAGTGCACATATCTGTGCCTTCTAATGGGATAAATGGCAGCATTCAGCTGATGAATCCTAAAGTGCTGTGGCCAGATTTGTACGGGATTGCATCCTCTGGAGGGGCAGCTTGTGCTATCAGCTTGGCACTGAATGACTTCAGTACCTCGTAAAATTTACATCAACAAACTGGAAATAGCATTCGCTTAAACATGGGACTGTTAATTAGTAAAGCACCTCCTAATGCCTGAAACATGCTAATGAAACTAATTTATCGCTACGTTAATTGATTGATCTACTTATAAAACTATGTAGAGACATTACACAATATTTATCTTTCAATAGAACTGTGTTGCCAAGCACTGATGATTGTTGAAGCAAAAATATCTTAGATACCTCAAATTCAATGAG